TGTGGTGGGATTCGTACCCGGATCCCTGGAATATTACCCGTGTCTTGGATTACCAGTTTAGTGATAACACCATTAGGGCATCACCTCCCCTAACACTCACAGCTACCACTTTCAGACACATTCCCAGGATGGGAGAGACAGTGTTTTTGAACACTCATAAACACGACTCCAGTGAAACAGCCATGAAGAGGAGGAGGAGGAGGAGCAGGGGCAGTGCCTACTCAGATATCATCCCAAACCTGTCCCTCAAGAACCCCTCCAACCCAACGCAGCTCACAGAGCTCTCTACAGTTGGCAGCTTCCTGAAACTTGAACCAGCCCTGCCCAGGCATGGGAGAGTCCAAGACCAGTCTCTATGGAAGCAGCCAGCATTGGATGGGGGATCTTCTGCCTTGGGCCGTTTCCCAAATTGTTTCTCCCTCCCCTCCCCATGGCCCTGCAAACACTGAATGTAGGTGGTTGATTGACCTTAGTGTGCACCACTGCTCTGGGCAGATACAATGCAGAACATCATCCTTCTGTACTGTACCCATTCTCTGAACCTATTCTGTGTCTTTCCCAATAATTCCCACATTCTGCTGTTGTCCTTGGCTTCCTATTTATCCTGGCCATTACTCCTTTTTTCCCTGGTTGTCATAGAAACTTAGAAAATAGGAGTAGGACATTTGGCCTTCGACCCTGCTCCACCATTCAATAGGATCACGGCTGATCAACCATCTCAGGATCCTGATGGTAGCTGGGAAAACGTCAGTTTATGTACTTAAAATAGGGAGAGGGTGGAGTAGGGAGTATCCTATCGTTTTCTATCCTATCATTTACTCCCTACCCCACTGCCCACCCCCCCTCCCTATTTTCTGCATATAAACTGACGTTTTCCTAGCTACCATCAGTTCTGAGGAAGGGTCACCGGACCTGCAAAGTTAACTCTGATTTTTAATTCACAGATGCTGCCGGACCTGCTGAGCTTTTCCAGCAACTTCTGTTTTTGTTCCTGGGTGCTGTGGAATATGTTAGAATCGTAGTCGTAGCAGGCAAAATGAGTAGCCACTCAAAGGAATGTGAATTCATGTGAACGGAAAGCTAACATCGAATCGTTCATGGAAAACTGTGATAAATATCACTGAGATTTCTGATGAGGTCACAGGGAGTGTTGATGAGGATAATCCACTTGATGCGATGAACATGGACTGACAAAAATCATTTGACAAAATGTCCCACAACAGTCCGATGAGCAAAACACAAATGACAGAAAGTAACTGTACAAGTGCAACAAGCAAATGGCAAATGCAGGATTGACTTTTATTGCAAAGAGTTTGAAGGATGAGTGTGAATTCACTTAGAGTACTGTGAGCAGTTTTCAGGGATGAGGTCTGCCCTGGAAGTTAGTTTTTTTTTCATTTGTGGGATGTGGGCGTCGCTGGCTGGCCAGCATTTATTGCCTGTCCCTAATTACACTTGAGAAGGTGGTAGTGAGCTGCCTTCTTGAACTGCTGCAGTACACCTGCTGTAGGTTGACCTACCATGCCATTAGAGGGAATTCCAGGATTTTGACTCTGAGCGGTACCCTGAGCAGTTTCTACCGACTTACCTAAAATTGGACTGGCATTTTCCCCAGTGAGTGTAACAAAGTTTCTCCAGACTGGTTCCTGGGTTAAGAGGTTCTCTGAAGAGGAGAAATGAATAAACTGAGTTTATATTCTGTGGGATAAAGTCCAAGTTGCTATAGTGCTTCTAGACCACACCTCTGCTCTCTCTTGAAGACAAAAACACTGGTAAGGTCAGGCGAGAGGACAGATTGAAAAAATAATTTCTTTATGGTAATCTCAGATGGTGTGGGATTAGAACCCACACTGTTTGTACCATTCCACATTACAAACCAGCCAACTAACTGACTGGGTTAACCAGTCCCCAAACTGTGGGATACAGAGGAATGGAAGGTGGTCAAATTGATTTTTTTTTTATGAAGAGGCTTGACAGGAACAATGCTGATCAAATATTTCCCCTGACTGGAGTATTTAGGACACAGGGGTCACAGTCTCAGAATAAGGGGGTAACTATTTCAGACCGAGGTGAGGAGTAATTTATTCACTCACACCGCTATAAATCTGTGGAATTATCAAGCACTGGGTGTTTGTCAGTTAGCCATTGATAGTTTTTTGTTCATCAGAAATGAAGGGAAATGGTGATTGTTTGGGAAGGTGGAACTGAGGTAGAAGCCAGGAGGAACAGGCTTGAAGGGCTGAATGAATGTTTCCTGCTCCTATTTCTGCTGTTAAACCTCAGTCTGGATCCTCCAGTTTGCTCTGTGTGGGAATTCAATCTTTCCTGAGGAATCACTAAGATAGGAGCCTACAAAATCATGCCCCAGACACTATTTACAACTTACAGTTAAATGTGGGCAGTTTCTTTATAAAGATGTGAGTGTAATCAGTTATCCAGCAGTTCAGCTCTAATGGAGATAGTGACTTCACAAAACAAGGAACAAATATGCTACAGGTCAGTCAGTGATTCACTGTAAATCAGTACCAATGGATGCTGAGTATGCACAGCAGGGAGCAGAGTCTGAGTGATCGGTTGGTGAGCTTCCTTTAGGGGGAATTTCTTAAATGTCTGATAGGTACAAACAGCCTGTCTATTAAATAGATCAGGGTGAGATCCCCAATATTCAGACCTTACAGCTTCTTCTTCAAATTACAAATGAGACTTTCTCTTGTCAATATAGCGCTGCAGGACTGGACTGTGGCAAGTTTATTCACCCTCAGTTCAATACTGACTCTCAGTCGATTGCAATTTAGAAAAGATGTGTTGCAGACATAATGGTCTATTCATAAGAGCATAAGTGCTAGGAGCCGGAATAGGCCATCCAGCCCTTCCAGCCTGCTCCGCCATTCAATAAGATCATGGCTGATCTTTTCGTGGACTCAGATCCACTTACCCGTGTTCTCACCGTATCCCTTAATTCCTTTATTGTTCAAAAAAAATCTACCTTATTCACACATAACGTGAGACATTGTGATGACACTATTAATGAACAGGGAAAATTGAGATCAGGATCAAACCCCCACTGGCTTTGAGTGAAAAAAAAAATTCAGGCCTGGATGTGATTAACATCAGCAGCATTAACAGCAGAATCCAACACTTGCTGTTACGGCTGACTTTCATGGTGTTTCAGCAGGTAGGATGACTGAGTGAATCCTTGCCCACACAAAGCAGGAGAACGGCCTCCTTCCAGTGTGAATTTGCTGGTTGACAGTGAAGTCAGTTGATTGCACGAACCCTGTTATACAGGGACAGCATCTGTCCTCAGTGTGAATACGTTCATGGGACATCACATCCTTAAGAGTTTTTACAGTAAAATCCAGAAAGCCAGGAGCAGCTGCTGCATGGGTAAAGCAACACCTCCAAGACTCACAGCACGGAGTTCACACTGGGGAGAGATTTCATCGTTTCCATGTTATTGACTTGGACATGGATTGTTATTCCTTCGTCAATGGGAGTTAAACCCAACTCCCTGTGACAATGAGAAATTGCTGGGCCCAATTGGGCTCCAATATGCTCAGAGTTATACCCAGCAACTTGTACCATTTCCACTCCAGCTCAAACTAAAGCAACAAAAGCTCTCAGAAAGGAACTTGGTATGTAGCTGAAGAGAAAACACTGGGTGACAAGAAAATGGGAAGGGAGTGGGAGTAACTGCAGTGGGACAGTGCCTGATGACATCACACACAGGAACACAGAGCATCTGTGTCTGTGCAAACCAGAGATCACCCACACATTCTGATGGATCTCTGAGAGGGGGCAGAAGAGATTCACCACGATAGTCTGATGGAATGAGGCACTTTAGTTGCAAGATTAGTTTGGACAAACGGGTTGATGGAGTTTTATAGAGCTGTACAAATGACCAGTATTTAAAGAGAATGTTTATTTTCAATTTTTGTATTGCAGGACAGAGATTTAGGATTTTGAGGCGTTCTACAGGATAGATGAAAGGAACAAATTTCATGCAGCAAGTGGTTACGAACTGGATCTGGATGCTCACAATCAAACCCTGATTTGTCCAGGTCCTGATGAATTGAATGGTTCCATCAGATATTGATCTGTTATTTAGTTGGGATATGCTGTAAAAGTATTTTCCAAAATCCGTCACTGTCTCCTCAGCATAAACCTTGAGGAAAGAATTATTTCTCAGGGTTTGAGTTGTTGTGCATAAATTTTCCCCTTCTAACCCCCTGTGAAAGGAGTTACAAAATTCATACGTCAATCCAGAATAGAAATTCATGACAGGCCCAGAACAGGAACAAGAAAGGAAGACACGATAAATATACACTGCAGTGTGAGCGGCAAAGGCAGGGCAGTGAGGCTGGTTGAATTGCAGCTACCCACAGGCGATGGCGCCATCCCTGATGTTAGCTGAGTATCTGCACAATTCACTTTGTCATGTCAGAATTCCCATATAAGTGTTCATGTTTAAAAATGGGAGAGGAAACAAAGTTGCTGATCTCAGTGTGAGTAGAAACTGGTGTTCAATGTTAGGTCAACAAACTCACTTCTGGTCATGTTATAGGAAGGATATTATCAAGCTATAGAGGGTTCAGAAGAGATTTACCAGGATGTTGCCGGGTATGGAAGGTTTGAGTTATAGGGAAAGGCTGGGACATTTTTCACTGGAGAGTAGGAGGTTGAGAGGTAACCTGATAGAAGTTTATATAATAATGAGGTATAGATAGAGATAATGGCAGTGTCTTTTCCTGAAGATGATGAATTTCAAGACTAGGGGGCACATTTTTAACGTAAGAGGAGAGAGATTTGATCAAAAGACATGAGACTTTTTTTTTTTTTTACACAGAGAGTGATTTGCGTGTGAAATAAACTTCCTGAGGAAGTGGTGGATGCAGGTACAATTACAATGCTTAAAAGACATTTGGGTAGATACATGAATAGGAAAGGTTTGGAGGGATATGGGCCAGGAGCAGGCAGGTGGGACTAGTTTTGTTTGGGATTATGGTCAGCATGGACTGGTTGGACCAAAGGGTCTGTTTCCATGCTGTGTGACTCTACATGAGTTTCTCTTCCCTCCTGTTTCAAAAACAACATCATTGAAGTAAGCAGGGATGATATTTACTGACAGAACATACAGGAGAAGTGTTTAATTCTTTCACTATTAACTCTACAGACAGATTAACTTCATTCAGTCAGCAACAGAGATTGGTGCGTTTATTAAGGTAGATTTAGTTACTATCTCCAAGGTTGACAAAGGTCAAGTGTGGAAAGAGGGAGAACAGCAGTGGAAAAGAGTGGTGAAGAGGGAGCAACAACACAGTGTGCAAAGGCTAAAAACAAAGTACTGAAGAAGCTCGGCAGGTTTAGCAGCACTTATAGAAAGAAAAACAGAGTTAAAGATTCGATTCCAGTAACACTTCATCAGAGAAACATTTTGATCTGTGTTTTCTGTGAATGACGAATGTGTCTTTCCTCCTGTCCCCACCTCTAATCCTGATCCTTCATGCTGTTCCCCTGAACCTCTACAGCACTGATATCCCTTCTGCTTAACTCATTTCTTCCTGCTGCTCATCTGGCACTTTCCCCAGCCAGACGACTCAGACCTCCTTCCTCTCCAGGCTAATATATTTAATTCTATCACAGACCTTCTCCCTGATAATTACACCCACATCATCTCTCTCACTAGTGAACACTGACACAAAGTATTCATTTCGAACCCTACCTATATCCTCTGGCTCCACACAAAAATTACTGCTGTGGACCCTTACTCTTTCCCTCGTTATTCTTTAAGCACCAATGTATGTGCAAAATAATTGAGTATTTTCCTTTATTTTAGCTGCCTGTATCCATTCAGTCTCTCTTGTAGCTCTCCTCTTTTAAGTTCCTTATTGCACATTTACTTGAAAGTATCAGCTCCCAGCACACTCTGGTTAAATCATATCTGATCTTATTAAAATTGACTAGTTTAGAACTTTGATTTCTGGCACATCCTTGTCCTTTTCCAGACAAACATGAATATAACTGAGTTATGATAACTGTCTGCAATACGGTCCCTGACTGACACTTCAACCACTTGCCTGGCTTTGTTACTTAAAGTCCAGGACCTCCCATTCCCTTCCTGGGACTTCCATATGCTGACTTAAAAAACTATCCGGAATATGTTTTAAAAATTACTCCAAACCCTTCACATTATGATGACCACAGAGGAAGTTGAAAACCCCTGCTGTTACAACTGTTTTACTTATACACTTCCCTGAAATCGCCTCCTTACCTGCTCTTCTAGTTCTACCCATATGGGTTTATTTAAGGGGTTTTCTAAGATGTCATCGCTCGTTATTGCTCTAACAGATTCCCTTAACAAAATTGTGACATCTCCTCCTCTTTTGCCATATCTGCTCTCTTGCATGAAGACCTTGTATTCTGGAACATTGAGCTGCCAACCATGTCTAAGTGACAGCTGTGTCTTCATACCCCAATATTTCAATTTGTTCATCAGACGTGTAACATTGAAAGAAATGCCAGTCAGTCTTGACAAACTCCCTTGTATTTTCACTGGCCTGTAATGTTGATACCTTCCTAACTCACTTGTTTCTTCTCATTTTGACTGTTCATCCTAATCTTTTGAACATTCTCTCTGGATCTCAGCCCCTTGCCAAGTTAATTTACATGCTTCCCAGCAGCACTCGTAACCCTCTCAGTAAGCACGCCGCTCCCACTCTACTTCAGGTGCAATCCCATCCACCTTGAACAAACCGGAACAAGATGATGATGATAAACTTCCACCCAGGTGCACAGAATTCCAATGTTGCACTAAATTTCCAGCATTACGGGCTGTCTCTCAATTGATCTGCCAACTGCTCATGTAAAATGCACTGATTGTCTCATTCTGAGTGACAAATAAACTTCACAGGTTCCTCGCACTTGGAGGGGAGGTGACGAGCCCTTCAAAATAAATGAGTCAGCTTTAGAGATAAAACAAAAACTTGATGCACAGTAGTGTTTAACAAAAAGCTGATTTATATCATTTTTCTCCCAAATAAGTAGCCAGACATATGGTGTGTACAAACATAACGTGGAACAGTGGTTAGCATTACTGCCTCACAGTACCAGGGACCGGTGTTCAATTCCAGCCTTGGCTGACTGTGTGGAGTTTTCATATTCTCCCCGTGTCTATGTGGGTTTCCTCCCCGAATCCAAAGATAAGTAAATTAGGTGGATTAGCCATGGGAAATGCAGGGTTACTGGGACAGGGTAGGGGCATAGGTCTGGGTAGGATGCTCTTCAGAGGGCCTGTTTCCACACTGTAGGGATTCTATGATTATGATTACCAGAAGCAAGCCCAAAAAACATGGCTTGGATATTGACAGCAGTAGTATAAAAAAAGCAACACCTATAATCATTTAGGAATTCATTGGTGGTTAACCAGTCCTGATGAATCAGGAAATCCCTTCTCCATGCAGGTGGACCGTCTTTCGACAATGTGAATGCGTTGATGTACAGAGATGATGTGATCATTTCCAAAACCTACCCTACTGATACACACATTTGTTATTAAATTTAATCGACAATATCAGCACCTTTAATTCAGCAGGGATTAAAAACTTCAGTACAAACAGCCCTAAACCATGGTTCATTCCTTACTGTGAGTCAGAGCGAAATCTTTCAACTGTGGTTCTTTGTGAATTTGCTGGTGTGTCAGCAGGTAGGATGACCGATTGAATCCTTTCCCACACTCAGAACAGGTGAATGGTCTGTCTCCAGTGTGTACTCGTTGGTGTATCAGTAGGTGAGATGAGCAAGTGAATCCTTTCCCACACTCCGAGCAGGTGAATGGTCTCTCCCCAGTGTGAATGCTCTGGTGTCTCAGTAGGTTAGATGAGCAAGTGAATCCCTTCCCACACTCCGAGCAGGTGAATGGTCTCTCCCCAGAGTGAACTCGCTGGTGTATCAGCAAGGAGTTCGAATCAGCAAAGCCTTTCCCACACACAGAACAGGTCAATGGTCTCTCTCCAGTGTGAATTCGTTGGTGTATCAGCAGGTGAGTTGTCTGAGTGAATACTTTCCCACATTCAGAGCAGGTGAATGGTTTCTCCCCAGTGTGAACTCGCTGGTGTTTCAGCAGGTTGGATGACTGATTGAATCCCTTCCCACAATCAGAGCAGGTGAACGGTTTCTCTCCAGTGTGAACTCGCTGGTGTTTAAGCAGGCTAGATGACTGAGCAAATCCCTTCCCACAATCGGAGCAGGTGAATGGTCTCTCCCCAGTGTGAATTCGCTGGTGTTCCAGCAGGTGGGATGACCGAATAAATCCCTTCCCACAATGAGAGCAAGTGAATGGCTTCTCTCCACTGTGACTGTGTTGGTGAGTTTCCAGTTGGGATGGGTATAGAAATCCCTTCCCGCAATCCCCACATTTCCACCGTCTCTCCCTACTGTCACTGCGCTGGCATTTGGACATTTCAGATGAACCTTCACAGACAGTTCCACACACAGACCATATAGGTTACTTCCCAGTGTGTACGGTGTATTTTCCTTCAATGTTCAAAATCCTGAGATAATTAGGTTGTGATAAACAGAGTGACTGTCAGATGTGGATATGGTTTCATTTGAATTCTCTAATTGCAAATCAGTCTTTCAAACAGGAAACAAATGCAGTCAGTGAGAAACCAGAAGAACATACACAGGTTGTGAAACTGAGAGAAATGAATCTGGTAATTTGTGGAGCCGACACTTGGGGAAACTGCTGGATTATCATTAAAACTAAACTGGTCCATAAATGTTCTTTGCAGGGGGAATGAATCAGTGTTTGCACAAAACTACAGCGAAAGATAGGGGTTGGAAAGGCAGGCATAAAGGAGAGGCATTTTATATATCTACAACTCAACCATGTTCCCGTTTTCTTCCCAGACCCTTCTATCCCTCTGAAGGAATAAGAACAAGTACAAAAACAAAATGCTGGAAATCTGAAATGAAAACTGAAAATGCTGGAGATACTCAGCAGGTCTGGCAGTATTTGAAATGGTGACAGATGCAGGGAGCATTGTGGCTTTGAAGAAGTATTTAAATGATCATACAAAGCTCTGTGATATAAGTTAAGCTGAGTGCTGGAAAATGGGACAAGCTTTAGTAGGTGCTTGATGACCAGCACAGATATGATGGGGATATTGTGTTCAACAATTTTATACCAAGTTTCTGACCTCATTTTGTTCTGTGTTTCTCTGTGATTCTTTTTTAGGAAGCACGCAGGAGTGGCAAGCAGTGAAGAATGCAAATCATATGTTGGCCTTCAAAGTGAGAGGATTCGAGTATAAAAGCAGAGATTCTTCTCTGTAAGGTCCTTAGTGAGACAACATCTGGAGTACTGTGTGCACCTTTGTTCTCTGTTCCCAAGGAAGGATGCCCTGGCTATTGACAGATCATAAAGTAGGTTTACCAGACTGATTCCTGGGAGGTCAGGACTGATGTCTGAAGAAGGACGTGATCTTCAGTTAATCTTTGTTTCTTTTCTCTTTCTGAGCGGCTGACTACATCCCTAACTAATGTTCTATCACCCATTTCCTGATCAGAAACTGACTCATCTAAGCCTACACTTTAGTTCCTATGCCCATGCCATACTAATTTAAAACCTCACCAATGGAACTAGAATAAGCCCCCACAAGGAGATTTGTCCAAGCTCTGCCCAGGGGTATCGATCAGGGTTGTACAGGTCCCACCTAACACAGGAACTGTCCCAATGCCTCAAGAATCTAAATTTCTCTCCGGTACACCATTTCTTCAGCCATAAATTCTTCTGATCTATCTTCTTATCCCTGCTCTCGCTAGCACGTGGCACTGGGAATAGGCCTGATATTACTGTATTTGATGTCCTGCATTTTAATGTATCTACTTTCCTATATTCAGCTTTCAGGTCCTCATTCCTTTGTTTAGCTATGTCATTGGTACCTACGTGTTCAATAGTGGTTGTTCACCTTCCTGTTCCAGAACGTCCTACAGCCACTCCATGACATCCCTAACCCGGGTACCAGAGAGGCACATACCATCCTGGATTCACATCTGTGACCACAGATTGCCTGTTCATACTCCTTATTATTGAATCCTCTATCACTGTAGTCCTGCCGTTCTGTTTCCTCCCATTCTGTGCAGCAGAGCTGGCCACAGTGCCATGAACATGGCTGTTTCCCTCGAGAGGACAACAGTATCCAAAGCACCAAATCTGCTTGAGAAAAGGATGACCACTGCGGACTCCTGCACTTCCTTCCTGAGCCTTTTTACTTTGTCCGATGGTCACCCATTCCCTTTCGGCCTGTGTAATTCTCAGCTGCAGTGTGACCAATCCACTAAATGTGCTGCCCATGACATTCTCAGCATTGCGGATGTTCCACAGTGGGAACAACACCTCATGTTCCTTTGGGGACCCTGCAGTGAATGAGAGTGAATGAGCGGTGGGACCAGCAGGATCACACTCGACCATGAACTGTGCAGGTGCAGTGTCGCTGTGAGTGGGCCTTCGCGAGTGGAGGGTGGGTGAGACAGTGGAAACCAGGAGAAAAATGGAGTCAGTTAGTGTGGACCGGGAGGTTTGATAACCACCCGGTGTAGGCCGCTAGATCTGACTTAGAAACGTCCGGTAAATAAAAACCGAAAGAACTGTAGATGCTGTAAATCAGAAATAAAAATAGAAATTGCTGGAAAAACTCAGCAGGTCTGGCAGCATCGGTGAAGAGAAATCGGAGTTAATGTTTCGGGTCCGTTGACCTTTCCTTAGAACTGATGGCAGCTAGGAAAAGCTACATTGAGTTCAATAATTTTAGGGTCTGAACTCTCCCATGTCCTTACCCCTAACACACGCAGCAGGCCCTGTTATCTCATCATCTGCCATTACACACTACCTATTGTTAGCTACTAACAGTCGTCCTCCCAGCCAGATCATTATGTACTCCGTTGTCTGTCCAACTGTTCTTCTCTCTCTTTGAGCTCTATCCTCACCTATGGTTGACTCCTTACCCCCTCCCCTGACCCTAACTTCTTCATAAAAACCCACACTTTCCCAGCTACCATCAGTCCTGTGGAAGGGTCACCGGACCCAAAATGTTAACTCTGATTTCCCTTCACAGATGCTGTCAGACCTGTTGAGCTTTTCCAGCAACTTCTGTTTTTGTCTCTGATTTACAGCATCCGCAGTTCTTTCGGCTTTCACTTATCGGGGGTTTCTAAGTTGGGTCTAGTGGCCCACACTGGGTGTTTATAAAACCTCCCAGTCCACTCTAACTGACTCCATTTTTCTCCCCGTCTCCGCAGTCTCTCCCACCCCAACTTTTCCATCGACTCCCCTCACACTCACTGAGGTCCCACTCACAGCGACACTGCACTTGCAGAGTTCATGGTCACATGTCATTCTGCTGACCGCGCCCCTCATTCACTCCCGGGGAATCTTGAAGAAGGGTTTCGGCCTGAAATGTTAACTTTCCTGCTCCTTGGATACTGTCTGACCTGCTGTGCTTATCCAGCTCCACATTTATTAACTCTAGCTTCCAGCATCTGCGGTCCTTTCTGCTACCCTCATTCACTCCCATTGGCTGGAGGACCAGTCGGTTCTGGTCAGTCTGCCAGCCATGCCCACTCGCCTCCTATTGGTCTACAGCGGCCATCAATCAGCCAGGCACCATTGTGAGGTGGGTGGTGGGTGGTGGGTGGTGGGTGGTGGGTGGTGGGTGGTGGGAGCCTCCCTCTCTGCGTTCTGGGATTGGCTTCATCATTCACAGTGAATGGTGTGGTTTGTTTAAGAGTACAGAGGCTATTCAGCCCATTTGGGTTGTACTCTCTCTCTGGAGATACTGCATATCTATTCCAACTTTCCTGTCATTTGCCCATAGCCCTCTGAATAATTCCTTAAAAAGTTAAATTCCAAATCTCTTTTGACAATAACTTGAATCTGTATCCAGCTGCTGTTCAGACTGTTCCAGATGCTCAAACTTACTGAGTAAAGTAATTTTCACATTTTCACCCTGCATTATTTGCCAATTATCTGAAAAGTGGTTACCAAAAATTGTGACAACATTAATAATTTCTCTCCCTCTCTCTTTGCAAATTAAATATCCTGGACAAAAAATCTGCACCTGGACTAAATCACTGCTTAACCTTCTCAGCTCCAAGGAGAATTAAGCTACTGCTACCTCTCCACAAAACAGAAATCCATCTTAATTTTAATTTATTAGAGTCATTGAGATGTACAGCACAGAAACAGACCCTTTGATCCACCTTGTCCATGCTAACTAGGTATTCTAAATTAGTGTAATCCCATTTGCCAGCATTTGGCCCATATCCTTCTAAACCCTTCCTGTTCATGTACCTAACCAGATGCCTTTTAACTGTTGTATTTGAACTAGCCTCCATCACTTTTTATGGCAGCTCATTCCATATATGTACCACACTCAACTTAAAAATGTTGCATCTTAGATCCTTTTAAATCATTTCCCTTCCACCTTAAACCTATGCCCTCTAATTCTGGATTCACCTGAGCTGGGAATAAGGCTCTGGCTCTGCATCCTATCCATGCCCCTCATGATTTTATGGAAGTTTATAACTCAGCCTCTGCTTCTGGAAAATAGCCCCAGTCTATTCAGCTTCTTCCTGTAGCTCGAACCGTCTAACCCTGGCAACATCCTTGTGAATCTTTTCCGAACCGTTCAAGTTTAACAAAATCAGTCCTATAGCAGGAAGACCAGAACTGAACACAGAATTCCAGAAGTGGCCAAATCAACATCCTGTAAAGCCAGAACATGACCTCCTACACTCAGTGCACACACCAATAAAGGCAAGTATACCAAATGCCTTCTTCACCATCCTTTCTACCTGCAACTCCACTTGCAATGAAATATAAACCTGCACCCCAAAGTCTCCTTGTTCAGCAACACTCCCCAGAACCTTATCCTGCCCTGATTTGCTCTACCAAAGTGCAACATCTCATAATTATCTACATTAAACGCCATCTGGCAATCCCCGGCCCATTGGCCCATCCGATCAAGGTCTCGTTGTACTCTGAGGTAACCTTCTTCACTGTCTACTACACCACCAATTTTGGTGCCAACTGTAAATTTACTAACTATACCTCCTACGTTCACACCCAAATCATTATAAATGACAAAAAGCAGTAAACCCAGCATTGATCCTTGCAGCAGCACTGCCGGTCACAGGCCTCCAGTCTGAAAAGCAACCCTCCACCACTACCTCTGTCTCCTACTTTCAAGCCAATTTTGTATCCAAATGGCTAGTTCTCCCTGTATTCCATGTGATCTAACCTTGCTAACCAGTCTACTGTGCAGAACCTATGGAATGTCTTTCTGAAATCCATATAGACAACATCCACAGCTCTGCCTTCATCAATCTTTTGTCACTTCTTCTAAAAATTCAATCAAGTTAGTGAGACATGATTTCCACACACAAAGCCATGTTGACAATCCCAAATCTTCCCTTGCCTTTCCAAACTCACGTAAATTCTGTCCCTCGGGATCCCGTCTAATAACTTGCCCACCACTGACTTCAGGTTCAC